TACCTTTTCGAATTATGCAGTTTTACTTATGCTTACTTTTTCTATTTATTCTATAGGTGTTAAATGTTCCAAATCTATTCACTCGGAGTGATGATGATGAGAACAAGTGAGAGTAGTGGGCATCGTCTTCAGTGACAATACATGCATTTGATAGCATTTCCTTTGGGGATTTCCTGAATCGCCCAATTTGGAGGTTATTATGAGACAATGGTGGAAGAAAAAAAGTTGATCATCTCAATTGCGAAGCAAAAAAAATAGTATTTCCTTTGGGAATTATTAGCATGTCTTCAACTGATATGTAATATTTGTTGAATACTAATATTAGAATACGAGGGATTATGGGAATATTGTATTTTTACTTGGCATGATTAATAATATGCAATTGATGTGTTTTTGTTAAATGTTGTCATTTTTGTTGTTGATTTGCAATTTTAAAACATGGATATTATAGTGAAAATCATTTTGCATAATGCATATTCTAATGTTTCATTGTAAGAAAGTCAATATTCAATAACGGTTACTTTTTTACCCACATTGAAATTGAAGATTATTTGTATTACATTCTATATGGGGTCTGATAGTAACCGATATAAAAAATCTTTAATAACGGTTCCTCCACCCCTTATAAAAGGTGCCCCACTTTCTATGTCGGCTGAATCTATGTCGGGTCTAGAACCGACATAAAAAGTCGATTTTAACCGACATAGAAAGCTCTTTTTCCACTTGTGATTTTTTTTGTCGGATTACCTACTATCTGAATGATGTGTTATCAATTTAAGCCTATTTCTTTTTAAAAAAATAGTTATTAGTGACTATTATTGTGTTCAAATTTAAATAGTAGTAATTACATATAATTAAGTTACTGCGACGTAAACTTTCAACAAAATCATAGTCATTAATAGTTACTAAATATTGTAATATTTAACCAAATCCACTAATTAATTAAGGAAAACCAGTGTTCTAAACAGCGTCTATGCGCATAGCTTCACCCGAATGCCCCGCACACCGATTAGGCGTGGGAAAAGGCGACCAAGCACCAGCCTTCAGTTGAAGGCCCAAGCACTTAAAAACCTGTGACATGCGCTTGTACAGCTGCAATCCTTTCTTGAGGTCTGACTCTTATTTCTGAGCTTATACGGAGGATAAAGTTTTCTTCCGATCTGGTGTGGGAAATTTTTTATGGAGAAGGAAGAGCAAAATTTTGACTGAATAGAAAGCTGCACGCGTATGCCTCTCCTTTCAAATTTAAAGCCAGACATATGTGTGTGATGTGTGTGTATGTGTGTGTATAGGAGAAAGATCAAGTACAAAGTGTACTTATTATGCAAATGTTTGTACGATGCACCTTGACGTTATTTGCATTGCACATTGAGGTTCAAAGTGTTGCATATTATATACTCATAAAATAGGAGTTGCACATTAACGTTCCACGAGTTGCACCCTAGAAAAGTTAGGTTTTATTACAAAAATGTCACATCGCCTTTATATCCTTTAGATCAACTCATCGGATGGTCAAGATAAGTTTGTACTTTGTAAATTAAGCATGGTTTTTACAAAGTACAAACTCATATTGACCATCCGATGAGTTGATCCAAAGGACATAAAGGCAAGGTGGTATTTTTGTAATAAAACCCAACTTTTTTAGGGTGCAACTCGTTGAACGTTAATGTGCAACTTCTATTTTATGGCTGAATAATATGCACTACTTTGAACCTCAATATGCAATACAAAGAACGTTAAGGTGCATCGTACAAATGCTTGCACAATAAGCACAATTTGTACTTGATCTTTCCCCTATATATATATATATATATATATATATATATATATAAACTAGTTATCAACGCGCGATGCGCGTTCGTCTAAATGCCCAATGACATTACAAGCACATTACTTATTATGTATTAGTATTAGTTTCATACCGACAATAAAGTATAGTTGTTATTGACACCTTCTAAATGGAAGGAAATGAAACTAACTTCCTTCGGTCCTTTGTTGTGTTGCATCATGTACAATTACTAAAGTATAATGAGTGTTTGTGATTGCTTCTATATTAAAAAATTGAACTTTAAAGAGATTTTGGAGAAAATATTTAATAGTAAAAGTTGGTAGTGTTTGAGAAAAATGGTTTTTGAAAAAGTAACTTAGGTAAAATAAGTGTTTTTAGCATAATTAAAAAGTGAAAAACAGTTTAAACCACATCTCCATCTATTTCCAGCTTTTAGCTTATAAATGTTTAATTTAAACAAAAACTGTCACTTGAAAACACTAATTTCATCTTTTTTTTAGTTAAAATCTGAAAATCACTTTTAAAAAAAATTGTTTTCAAACACAACCTTGATACCCCTAACATTATTACAAAAAAGTATAAGTTATTTCTTCTATGAAGAATGCTAAAAAATGCCCCCATCCCCCCCCCCCCCCCCAGAAAAAATAACATATACTTAGGAAAATGAACGCAATATGGCTACACAAATTAAAAGCACATTATAAAATAGTAAACTGGTATAAACGGAAGATGAAACAGAATCATAAATTCAAAGAAAAGGATACTTATATATAGGGTGTTGATGATGATAAAATATACATAGTATTATAAGCTTATAAAGAGTTATTTGTTAGGCAACGCCCTTAGGAGCCTCCACAGATCTCTGTAGCCTCATTAATCAATCAATAACTATAAAGAAGAAATCTAGGGTAAGCATACAAGGAAGAGAGGTGATGGTTACGAGAGAGCCTAGACAATCAGTGGAAGTGATACATGAGTGATATAATCCTGAAAAATCCAACCTGAAATACACCTCACAATGACCCTCCCCCAATACTAAGTATTTTATAATATATATAAACTCGGATAAAAAAGTTGAGCATTAAAAATGTAGGAAGAGGAAAAATTGTATACTCTATATATGCATGTAATCTCTTGCTTTTCATTTTAAAATGGACTATAGAGCTGATAAAACGATGTAATTTTATAAGCAAGAGGATTGACTTGATGAGGTAAATACTCCTCATTTTAGTAAGAGTCCACGATAGTATATAAGGGTCAAATATAAGACACATTCTAAGACTAAGTGGATATCAATCTATAAGAAAAATAAAAATTGATGTGTGTTAGCTTAAAAGTTTTAAAATACCTAATGTGTTTTATTTCCTTTCCTTTCATTCACATTTATTATTGCCAAAATAAATAAATCACTTTTTTAAGTCTTGCTCCATAAAGGGTCGATTATATGAATTGAACTTGTTACAGGAATTGACTCCACAAAGTCTTGCTCTTGCACTTTTTGCACCAAAGCTGCTTATATGTGGTTAGACCTCCACTACCAAGACACAAAGGGTCTATTAGTTGCATTAAAGAAGAGGCAGAAAGAAGAAAGGATTTTAGCAGAATGAAGTTGCAAGGGCAAGGCCCCTCAGAGATATGGTTCAGCACACAACACTGATGTGCCTAACTTAGAATCAAGTTTATGGAGTCAGTGGAGGTCTCTCTTCTTACACATGGAGAACATATATGAGTGTGAAACTAACGAACTTGAATCTAGTCTTCTCTCCCTAACTGATCTCAAGAATAGATGCAAACCCGAGCTGGAACTGATTAACAAGACTCATCCAGAGAATTGATAAATGCTCGTATCTCCTCGTCCTGTTGTATCTGAAGTAGTTAGTGGTAATTCAAACGATGGGTTTATTTTTATGTCACTCTTGTCTATAAAGCATGTGAGGTTGCTGCGAGCTCTGCTTGTACCCCTAGCTTGATCTTTTCAAGCAAATGTAGCCACCATATTAAGATTGGATGGTGTGTAGAATTCGTTACTGGCATTTTCTTGTATTCATTTTAGGTATCTGCAACTCATATTACAGCAAAAAAAAAAGCGAAAATAATACTTCGTATAACTAAGTTCAGGATGCAGAGTCATCAAAGAGCAACATACTTACATACCTAGAGTATATAACCATATTTAACAAAAATGAATCATTAAGGGCCAGTATGGTTGGGGGATTTTGGAGGGGAGGGAAGGAGTGGGAAAGGGAGAGGTCTTATTTAAATTTAAAATAATTTTTACATTTAGACAAATTGAAATAAAATGAGGACACAATAGTATATATGTCAATCTAACTTACCAAGAGGTTAATCGATCTTCATTAATCAGTATCCATTTCGTCCTTCTGACCATCCAAACCAAAGCCTATCACAGTGACATAAAAAAAGGGAATTAACATCCAGTAATGAAATTTGATCATGAATCAACAAAATAAGCAAGTCCTTTACATTACAAAACACTACACCTTTAATAGAAAAAAGAGCAGGATATTGAAGTCTACTAAACAAAAGCATCGTATTTTCAAGGATTCGTTATATTAAAGACTTCAATTTAGGAGCTCGGTGAGGATACAATACGTGAAACACTTGATGACACAATGAAGCTGTAACACCGTCCCCAAGTGTATTTACTTTTATGTAAATTATGTATTGAACCTTATGAAATGGTTAATGAATTTACGAGGTTGTAAATTTTTGTTAATTCTTTTGCGTGAATAGTAAATTGCACGTGGGGCCCACATCGGGAGCGGGGACCACCCGATATTCCCGAGACCGCATATTTTATTCATCTTGGTATAGATAATAGTTATATGGTGGTGGACATTCACTTTGGGCCATAAGAAAGGCATTGGGTTGACCGATTGGTCAAACAAGGCCCAATTACCGGTTTAGGATAATTTATCGGATAACAGTCCGAAATGAATTTCGGAGACTTCCAAATTAGCGTTGGGGAAAGTATACTCATTATGAAGGCCCGTAATGATTGGTAACATACTATACATTTTATTTGACCCGATAAAATAAAATATATTTACAATAGTCCGAAAAATACAACTTTCTGGACCGATTGTACACTTCTGGACAAAAAGGGGTGACCTCCCACATAAGTGGGGGCCAACCCACGAATCTTCCAGCTCTTGGAGGATGGTTTGAGAGCAAAGGTGGCTGAAAGCCATTGAGAGGATGGGAGAGACCATTTTGACACCTAATGGACCCATAGCCTCAACCATTTGCCAACCAAAGACAAAAACACCATCCTCCCTCCTCTCCCACTCATTGCACTCGTCCAAGCACCAAGAAAGAAGGAAAAAGGCTCTGCAAATTCAGTCCTCCATAGCTAATCTCGAGCTCAAGCTCCAACAAGAAAAAGGGAGAAGTTTAGGAGAGGAAAAAGGGAAGAAAAAGGTGGTGATTAAGGTAATGACTTCGTATTGGTTGTTCCTCCATTCTTTAACTACCATATGACTTACATAGCATGTAAGGAACCCTTTTAGTAGCTCTACATATTTATAAATGTAGAAATAAGGGTTGAAGGGTGGTTCTATGTCCAAGAACGGACTTGGGAACCAAAATGACCGGTTAGCCGGAAAATAACCTTTTAAAGGTTATTTGTATTGATATGGGTTTTGTGATGATAAAACCATGTTAGGAACGTGTAAAAGGTGATTTGAGAGCTTTCACAAGGTTTAAAGAGTCGCCGGAGTTGTCACCGGAGTTCGTCAAAGTTCACCGGAGTTGGCCGGAGTTCAACCGAGAAGGGTAGAACTTCATCACGCTCATTGAGGTGAGTGGACGGCTTAATGTCTTATAACTCTTGGGTCAATTATGAGATTACCTAAGTAAATGTTATATGTGTTCATAATGATGTTTAAAAGATGCTTAAACATGTGATTATCCAAAGTGATTAGACTTATATGTATGACCCATTGATATCATAAATGAAGTATGATATGAAAATGTTTATAAAAACATATATGATGTTTTAAGGGATAAAAGGGGCATAAAATGCTTGGTTATAACTTAATACACGTTGGGATTAAGTTTGACGCAAATCGGGTTTGAAATGGCGAGTCAACGAAAATGTTGACTTGGTTGCCAGGGGGTAACCGGCGCCGGTTATAGGCAAAACCGGCGCCGGTTATGGATCAGCATGGCCGGTTAAATTAAATTAATTAATAACCGGCGCCGGTTATGTCAAAACCGGCGCCGGTTTGGCACTGTTTTGCCTACATGTTGATTTTTATGCATGAATTGCATGGATGATTATGCTTAGGCCTTAAGACTTGGTTTAGTCTTGATTATTGATTATGATATAGACCTTATCTAGGATGATATGTGGTAGATCATAAGTCGGGTGGAGTACCCAAGGATCGGGCGTGTATCCTCAAAACTCGGTTATAGGGTGGAGTACCCAAGGATCGGGCGGTTATCCTCAAAACTCGATTATAGGGTGGAGTACCCAAGGATCGGGCGGTTATCCTCAAAACTCAGTTATATAGGGTGGAGTACCCAAGGATCGGGCGGTTATCCTCAAAACTCGGTTATATAGGGTGGAGTACCCAAGGATCGGGCGTGTATCCTCAAAACTCATAGATTATCATTTTGTAATTTAGGACCGGGCGGTGTCCTCATGTTAATATGATTTGAACCAGGAGGAGTTCTATACACTCATAGGTATATGGGTGGGTTAGGGTTTAAGCCAAGGTTACCGGCTATATTATTTCCCAAATAAACAAAGACCTACGGGTCGGGTATTTCCAAGTGTATATATAATGATATATATTTCATAACTTGGGGGAAAGAACTATACGTATATGTATCACCCTATGTTTGGGTCTTATACTTGAAACGTTAGTTATTCTACATTTAGCCTGCTACTCGCTCGGTACTTGTACTGACCCCTTCGGGGGGCCCCACCATTTCAGGTTGAAGCTCAAGCTTGCTATTCTCACCTTGCTCGGTGAAGTGATCTAAAGGGAGACGTGGTTCGTGCTTCCTTTACCGTTTTTTAAACTTTAAACTATGCTCATGGATATTTTGTAATAAGTACATTGTTTTGGGCCTGCGAGCCCGCGTATTGGCCATATGTGGCCCATGGTTGAACATTGAATATTTCCGCGAATCGTTCAATCCAAATATGTGATGTTGTTATGTATGTTTACTTACTGAGTATGGTATGAACAATGTTCATGGACGCCTTGTATGATTAAGTCATGTTGACTTGCGAGTGACGTCATTTAGTCATACGGCGGTTGTACACGCGCTCGGATGCGGTCCGGGGCGTGACAGAAGCGATTAAAATTAAAATGAATTGATGAAGCGATTCACTCCTAATAATAACGAAGTTGCCGAAAAGAAGAAAAAACCTAACTTGTTACTGAAACAGTTCTTCAGTTGCCGAAAATAATGGACCGCTCATTTGTTAGCTGTGTCTGAAATCTTATGTGTGGTTCGCCAAAGTCCAAACCCATCCAGTATGTAGGAAAGGCTATTCAGTACCCTCTTGTTCTCACAGCAACCTCGACACTCCATTGCAACAAATGTATAATAGCAACACCTGGGACACACTCATACGGTTCCACTACGGAGGGCTTCGTCAACCGTAATCACTTGAATAGTAAATTCGTGAAGGAAAAGAGGGAGACGATTACTATTTACCTTGGATGCAACTCTCGTGCCAGAGCCATTGAGATTCCAAACCTATGTCTGCTCGCCGCCATCACTCTGGAGTGTAAAAAATATCGAGGTGCTTGAAGGAAGAGGAGGAGATGAATGACGGAAATAAGCCAAAGGAAGACTAAGTTAACGGAATGGGGAACATATACCGGAAAGCTACTTCCCTGTTAAACATAAGCTACAATACGTTTAGAAGTGCAAAAAATCATGTGTGATGTACAATGATTTTATGCAGCAAGAGACACCAACACATTTTTTATGACCATTATACCCAAAACAATATTCACTCTTATAAAATTGTAGAGATAATAGAATTAAACCACTACCAATCTACCACCATCAAATAAAATTATAACTTGACATAAAATTATCAAATAAATAAATGCTATGATCATATTAATATTACTACTCTGTGTTATTTGTGCTTTCATCACCATCATACTTATCATCATTACTAATATCAATAATAATAATATTAGTTTTGTTAGTTAAAAAATAATGAATTGTTATTTACTAATTAAATATGGATTGATAGTCAACTTCATTATAAAAAAAAATATATAGAAAACCATAATTACAATTTCAAGTTGAAAATCGTGACTCACAATTAATTCCTTAGGTGTAGCGGAGTACTTTTCTTGTATAAATATATATGGTTTATCCTCTTTTTGTAATCGCACCATCACAACTCCGGTACCCATTTAAAAAATAGGGTATCGTACCTACCATGGATTTGATTGGTCCAACTCAAATCATTATATCTTTTTAAATTTAGATTTAAATAATTCAACTGCATCATTTTGATTGGTCCATGTGGACAAATGTATGGTACCTTATGAGTACTATAAAATTTACCCCAAAATAATTCTAGTAAGAGTGATATGAGAATACTTTACCTCCGTAAATCTATGATGATTCATTCCATTTACAAACACTTATAGCTCTCTATTATTACTATTACTATAATGAAATAATTGATTAATTATTATTATTCACATAATTCTCCCATTCTAGTTTTTGTAAGAACTAGAGTAGGTACATCCACATTTTATACTTTTAGGAAATCTACAATATATTTTGTAAGAAAATTGAAACATGTGATATTTTTTCATGATTTTTCCTTCTATTACATTAACATACTTCATAGAGTTCTATAAAAAATTAAATAATGACTAAAAATCTAAAACGCCTTTTCACGCCTAGATGACGCATAAACTCGCCTAGACTTCTAAGGCTGAAGGCTCGGCCCTGCCGCCTTGGCACGCCTTACGTCTTTTACAACATCGAGAAATACACCTTATGATTTTTTTAATTTTTAGAATTATTTCATTACATAAATAAAAAAAACTACGGAGTAATTTTTAACATTTTCTAACCGTTAGCATTAATATCTAATTTATTCAGATCAGATAAGAAAAATTCAAATCATATCAGATGAGACTATATCAGAAAAATTCCAATTAGATCATATCAGTTTATAGCTTTATACATATCCTTATCAGATTAGAAGAATTCAAACATAATTTATTAATTTTACTATTATTATTATTATCATAATTATTATAATGGTTATTATTGTTATTAATATTATATCAATCCATTCACTCAAAATTTCTTCAATTTCAGTCAATTCGAGTTAACCAAACACACTCATAGATTTTTGGTATTTGTATTTTAATACTCCCTCCGTCACGTAAAATAGTTCTCGGTTTCCTTTTTGGGTTATCCCAAAAAATAGTTCTCATTTCCCCTTTTTGGAAAGTTTTTTGTGGTTACCATTCATTTACCTTTTTTACTCAACCACAATCATACATTTTCATTTTATTCACACTTTCTTAAACTACGATCCAAGTCAATGCGGGAACTATTTTATGGGACGGAGCCACAAAGGAAGTAATAGTTATAGTAGTAGTGCAACATAATATAGTGATATTGGTAATACTTGTATTAAGATTAATGATAACGATATTATAATAATAATAATTATAATTAGGGAAAATGGAAATTAATAATCCAATCTTTTAGCGGTCTTCTTACAATAATTCCACCTTTTCGTTATTTATGAATAATTCAACCTTTGCACCTCATCTTCATTCACTGGTCCCTGACCGGTTGATGACCTGCTATTCCATGTTATTTTCTTATCTTTACAAACCATTATACCATAAATCTCACCTTTTACAATGATAATATTTTGCAAAGATAAGAAAACAACTTGGAGTAGCAGGTCATTAACCGGTCAGGGACCAACAAATGAAGATGAGGTGCAAAGGTTGGATTATTCATGAATAACGAATAGGTGGGACTATTGTAAGAAGACCGCTAAAAGGTTGGATTATTAGTTTCCATTTTCCAAAATAATTATAATAATAACTATAACTATAGACTAAGCCTTTATATGCATTTTGTAAACATGTACGCAGTTATAAAAATTTATATTGATGAAATGTTAAACAAATTGGGGATGTAGCTCAAATGGTAGAGCGCTCGCTTTGCATGCGAGAGGCACGGGGTTCGATCCCCCGCATCTCCATTTTTATTTTTGTTGATTTAGAACTAGCGCGCTTTATGCAATTTCGGCGTTCAACTTCGTAATTTGTGAAACACTGTCGTTAGTTAGCGTCGTCGGAGAAACCGCCTCAATGCCACTACCAATCGCTTCCACCGCCGCAGTTTGCTCCGCTTCGCCCCCGCCGAACCGCAACATTTCACCGCAGCCCGGCGGAAAACTGATCTCCCGCCGCAACGCCGTCCTTTTACTCTCTCCAGTCGCTCCCCTCCTCCCTTTTCTCCGCTTTCCATCCGCAGCGTCGGCATTATCGCTTAGCTTCTGTACATATTCATCGTTTTATCTCCCTATATCCATAATCCATCTCGTAGTTCTAACTAACTTATACTCTTCTTAATGCTTGATTTGCAGCAGGACCAAAGCAGTGGCTTAAAGAGCAGAAGAAGAAATCGGCTAAGTTCTTACTGGCTCCCGTTGATGCCTCTCGCAATACGCTCCAGGCGGCCCATCTTTTGCTTGGTAAAATTCATTTATGATTTTCTGATCTGCTCAGAGTATGTTTTTGCTACTCGTATATGCGAAGTATTATTAACTGAAAAAGTGTTGCAGATCTGTAATTGATTATATCCACTTTGACAGTGAATGATGGAAATGACTTGGAAGAAACTCAGAGCTTGCTAAAGTCTGCTGCTAGGGATTGCGTCCCTCGAGATAGAAACTCATTCGTTCAGTTTCAATCCCAAACTGGAGTAGAGGTATCTCTCCTTCACTAGGCCATCGATTTGTACTTCTGTACTTCATATTCTCATTTCTAGATAGGGGAGTGAGTATATGAATGTGAACTTCAAAAAAATTTGAAAGTAAAGCTTTCTTATTAAATTTGAACCATGTTGAGAATAAAATTTCCATCATTTCCAATGGAGCGAAAGACTCGCTATCTTTTTGTTTGAGAATATGATAGAATAAAGCAATATGATTCACTCAAATGTCTGTGTTTCTTTGTTATGAATTCCGATGTGATTTTCATTATGGGTGATCCGGAAACAATTTCTGTTTTAGTAAAGAGATAAGGCCGCGTACATCCGACCCCCTTACCTCATCACCGAAAGTTAGAGCGTTTGTGACACTGGGATAATGTCGTTGTTGGATGTTAAGTGTAAAATGTTGTGGACATGTTGATGATCACATCATTGCAGATTTTGCAGAACACGCAGAACTAAATAACTAAAAGGGATTCGACTATATGGAAGTTTTATATGCTTCGATGTTTTAAGGCACTGAATGAATGTCCAGGTGTGCACATTCCAGCTGATTCTAAAGAATGCTTCTTCTTTACTTGATGACAAGGATCTGCTAAAAATGAATGCTGAATCCAAGCTCAATGACCTAATACGGTAGATAATCACAATTTTAAATTTTGATAGCCCAACCAGTCATGCCATTGTGCTGGATTAATTGTTCTTTAGGAATTGAATATACAACAGTTCAAGTTAATGCTTATTCCTAAATAGAATTGCTTATGTTTTCTTCCTGGGATGTTATATTGTTATTTACTCCTAGAATATGATTAATATTTTTGCGATTACTCTAACCATTTAGAGTATTATTTAGTCAGTCACAAAGGTTCTCCAATTGGTTATTTCCTAGTTTTGATATCTGCTTCCCAAAAATGACTCCTCTTGTATTACCTTATGGCTGCAGATGCTTTGATACGCTCAATGGCATGACAAGTAAACTTGATATTCAAGTTGCTTCCAACAGGTAGTATTTCATATTCAGCTTATGCAATCACCACCTAGTATTAATCTTCCTATAGTATATATGCCTATGTAGAAGTTTAGCACCAAATAAACAAAACATAAACCATGAGTCAGTGAAAGATTCCTTGTGGGTTTCAATTTTTATTTTTGCTACAGAAAGAAGATAGTGGATGCGCTTAAGGAGACACTATTTTCTCTCGACATGTTTGAACAGGGTGTCAAAGACTGCCTTGGATCTTGATCACTTAAATTTGAGTAACGGAAAAGGGAAAGTGTTCCTATATCTGACAAATTCCTATGGTTTTTCGAATGTAATGGGTCATTGCCATCTGGAAAATGTTCATAACTGAATTATTGATCTGCTGACATGATTTGTAATTTAATGTTTGATAGGAGTATTAATCCTAGAGAGAAGTGAGAGCTAGAGAGAGAAAGTGAGTAATGATATTTCTCAATTTTGGAACCCCCCATAATTAGCCCCATGGGGTCTATTTATAGGAAAAAATGTGGGTTTGGGCTCCTAGCCCTGGGCTTAGGAGGCCCATTACAATAATCATGCCTTCTTTGGGCGAAATAGGGCCACTAATGGGCTGTGTACAACACTTAGTAAATAAAATAGAGAGAAGCATTCTGCCCGTACGAAGCCGAGCCGATGCGGTGCCTTTTGGCCGATGCGGCCCATGGCCGATGCGGTCCATGGGCCGATGCGGTCCCGGGAGTCCATGCGTGCTTCCTGGGCCGGTTTGGTTTTTGGCCGATGCGGACCCACTGGCCGAAGGGGGCCACGTGGGTGTTCTTCTGGCCATCGTTGACTTGAGTATGTGGGCCATGGGGTCCGGGCCCATATACTCTATCAGGAGTCCCCCACTCTCTGAGCTGAGGCGAAGCCGAAGCGAAAGGGAGTATTTGTTCCTTCTTGGCTGGCCGTCGCGAGAGTTTGAGGCGTTTGGTGGCCGAAGAGTATCTGCCTTGATTTTGGATGAAGCGGCTTCTTCATTTGATGTAGACGTGGCGCACTTGAGGATCCACAGTCTTGGTGCGGCCGATGCGCTCTCTGTGAAGTGTCTTGAGGATGATGCGCTTTTCTTTTTTGTAGATGATGTGATGAATTCTGGTGTGGACAAATTGGCATGCTTTTGCCGTCATCTTGTTGGGGCCGAAGAGCTCGCCATCTATTCTTTTGGCCGTAGCGATGACATATTTTCATGAGATGGAGATGGTTGATTCCATTTACGTAGACGATGCGATGCACGCCTTTGACTTGTCATGTAGCCGAAGCGTTTGATTTGTGGGTTCTTGCTCTGATGAGCCGATGCAGTCCCCCAGTGTACGCAGCCGTGCGCTGTATTTTGTATTAGCCGATGCGATCCGCAATGTCATAGAGGTGAATCGCAGCTGATTGGTGAGCCGTAGCGCATCCTTTTTGCACTTTAAGGCCGTTGCGCTCCCTTTTTGTTTCCTTTCTTGTGGCCGATACAGTCCCCCCAGTCCCCCACTCCTTTGGCCGAAGAGTATTTGAGGCACAAGGGAGTCATGATGTTCTCGAGCCGATACGGTACCCCCCATGCGTTAGTCGTGAGTCCAACCCTTAGGCGAACCTGTCCAAGGTAACCCTGTGGGAGAACCCTTGGACGAAGGCCGCAATACCAGGGTCATCATCAAACGATGTGCGCGTGAGTGGCCGTAGCGGTATACGTGGTTCTTGGGGTTGCTTTGGGGCCGTAGTGTGTCTGCTAATGCGGCCATGTCTTTGGTAAAATTGGGCCGTAGCGGGTTTCTCCTTGTTTTTGAGTGAGTAGGCCGGTGCCAACCCTAGTCTCAGGGCTTGTTGGGCCGTAGCGTCGGTCTCAAAGTGGAATGTGAAAAGGCAAGCGCTGATTGGCTTTGGGAGAGGTGCCGTTGAGGTGACCAGTTGGAGTTTGCCACGTGTAGTGACCGTTGGAGGGGTGTCTATAAATACCCCTAAACCCCGAGGCGATACCTCATTTGTGCTTTTGCTGTTTGTCGAATTGCTGCCCAATTTTCTAGAGAGAGAAAGCTCCCAAGGTTTCTTCAAGTGTTCATCAATCTCCCTTCGGATCTTCAAATCTTCAAGGTCAGATTCTTGCCTGTTCTTCTTTATTTTTTTATACTTTGCTTCCTAGGGGGTTAGATCTAGTGTTTGTAGGAAAATCACTTTGATCCGAGAAACCGCCCTTAGGAATAGGTGTAGGTGTTATGCCGTTCTCTAATGGCCGTAGCGCTCCCTCCCCTATTGACTTAACAGCTTCGTTGGACGAAGAGGACTGGCCTTTTGACGAGGACGATACCTCCCCTAGAGTTGACCCTCGGATAGTGGAAGCATTTGAAGCTGAGATGGAGAATACAGCTGACTACCGCACCTCCGTAGATGAGGAGAGGATGAGTGCCGATGCGGGAGCGCGTCATTCTGGTGAAGACGAGGCGATATCTAGCTCGCCTCTGAGAGGGGATGAGGCATCCTCTTCTGCTAACATTCCTTGTCCTCCGCCGATATCGGCCGTTGCGGGTGAAGGTGCCCCGGTTCCTGGAATGAAGAAGCCGTACCGGCGGAAGAAGCGTAGAGGGGTGCTGCAGGGGCATTCGCAGTTGGATCTTACCAATCTTTACATTATTCGTCCGGAGGGGTCCCTCGGCGACTATCATGTCGCGCAGCTGTACGTTGGTCCCTACGGCCGTGTCAGAGCCCCCCTGCCGTCAGATCATGTTCTAAACCCGCCTTTGGGCTACTTTGGTGTATATCCGATGAGTTTTGCCAAGGGTTTGAGGTTCCCTCTTCATCCCTTCATCAAGGAGTATCTCGACATGGTGGAGCTCCCTCCGGCCCTATTGACTCCCAACAGTTTTTCGCTCATCATCGGCTTCTTGATCCGGTGCAAAGAGTTGGAGATTTCGCCGACGACTGCCCTTTTTATGAACCTGTTCCGGATAGGTCGAGGGAGCCATCAAAATTGTGCCGGCTACGCAACCCTGCAGCAGATCAGTGGGAGGAGGTCGTTTACGGATCTCCCTACGTCCATTCATGGCTGGAAGGCTAAGTTCGTATTTGTCACTTTGGGCCGAGGCGGGTTCTTTCCTTCAAATGGGCACAGTGGCATGTTCCAGTTGCATTCTCCCCCGTGGAGTGCTGAAATAAGCAACCAAGTAGAGGCCTTCATCAAAGGGGGGCCGAGGAGCATCAAGACGTATGTTACGGAGTACAGGATGGCTGCCCTCGGCTTCGTGCGGTATTATTGCCCCGGGGATGTGGACGATGACCTCTGGCCGAAGATGGATGGGTCTTATGAGCAGGCCGACGGGCCCCGCCTTGGTGTGCCATCCGAAGCCGAAGGTTGTCCTTCGTTTTCTTAACCCTCTCGTCGAATTTTCCTTTTCCTTTGCTAATGTCTTTGTTTTGTGCAGGTTTCGAGATGGATCGTATATCTTTTATGGCCCGTGCCGCTAGGAAGGCCGATGCGGAGCTCAAGGCCGCCCAGGCTGCTGAGGCAGCGAAGAAGTCTGCTGGCAGCTCTCAAGGAGGTGTTGAAGCTGCTAAAAAACCTGTTGCTAAGAAGGGCAGGAGGGCTGCCGATGAGGGGCAGAAGACCCTGGCCGAAGCGGGGCTGAAGCCGAGCCATGCTTCGAAGAAGACGAAGAGGGCTCCAACGACTGATGAGGCCGGCGCCCCTTCTTCTCAGGTTGTAGCGGATGTTCAGCCGCCGGTGCTCCCTCCCGTGAATGATCTGCCCTCCTCGGCCATGGTGGCCTCGGCTTCTCGTGTGCTTCCCTCTACGGCCGCTGCTGCCCGTCTGGAGGAGGCTCTGGCCAAGGGGTCGTACGAAGTCACCGTACGATACCCCGTGAAAGGTGGTCTTTTTAATGAGACCGTCGGTGGTGATGACATGCTTGCTCAGGCTATGCCTGAGTATGATCGCCAGTATCTCGGCCGACAAGGCCAGCATGTTCGGCTGTACGACGGAGGGATGGACTATGTCGTCCAGGTAAGATATTTTCCTTAGTGATTTTTTCCTTTGTTTTCATTTTTATCTCTGACCTTACTTTGCTTCGTCCAGGGTGCGCTGATGCTGAGGGAGCAGCATTGGAGGCAGGAAGCTGAGGTAGAGCGCCTGAAGAAAGTGGAGGCTAAGGCTGCTTCAGCCGATGAGGCCCTCCAGGATCTCAAGGACAAGGCCAAGGCTGCCGAGGATGAGATGAGGCTCCTTCAGCTCCGGCTTGATGAGGCCGATGCGGCCCGGAAGAAAGCTGATGAGGCCGTTGCCGCTGCCATCAAAAGAGCCGAGGAGTCGGAGCGGCTCAAGGCTGACGCCGAGAAGGCCGCCGAGAAGGCCGTGGCTGATTTCAAGGCCGAGGGATGGAGGGCCGATGATCAGCTCCCCTTCTGCTATGAGGTGGTTGCTGAGAGGCTGAGTGACTGGACGACGAAGGATCCCGCCGGCGAAGCTTTTTGGATGAACGAGATGCAAGCTTTCTACGATTGCGGCCAGTATAGGATGCAGAAGCTTATCTATAGGAAGCTGCGTCGTCGCTTCCGGAAGATGAGGCCGAGGGGCCTGAGTCTCCCTCGGCGAATGAAGAATCCCGATGAGGATTTGAAGCTTCCCCTACCGGAGAGGCAGCCTCCGATCTTGAGTTCATCCGAAGGGGAAGAGCCGTGGAGTGACAGTGACGACTACTTGCTCGAGGGGCCTGCCGATTCCCAGGCTGATGAGGATGGTGGTGGCGATGATGCTGGTGGCGGCAGCGGAGAGGACGTCGGCCAGAGCAAAGAGCAAGCCGATGAGGCAGCGTAGCTTGTACTTAGCTTTTTTATTACTTTTATAGCTCTTAGCACCAAAGTGCATGTAATGGCCGAAGCGCCCACCTCTTGTATCTTTTCATCCATTAATGATAAATCTTTTTGTCACCATGTTTCCCTTGTCGTCTTTGTAGTTAAGTATGTTTGCTCTTGTGAAATTTTCTAAGTATCAAGGCTGTGTCTCGAGGTCGTTGGCGTCCCTTGATTGAGACGTAGCGATTTTCTCGCCTTTACTGTCCTTGGGGACGATGCGTCTCCTCGTCCCTTAGTGAATTTTTATTTTTTCCTTGCCAAATCTTGTCCACGCCTCAAGTTTTGGGGCTTAGTCTTGAAGTGTTGAGGACGAAGCGGTACCCGAATATAGAATGGTAACGCATCGTCTCTCTTGTACTGTGACTTAAAAAATGTTCTAAGTGTCAAGCTTGCCTTGATGGAGCTGTTTTACCTTGGTTCGTTCACTTGGGTTTTGCTACGTGGAGACGATGCGCCCCATCGTCCAAGTAATGGACCGTGGTTTTGTATAACCGAAGCCGAAGCGATTTTCTTTTGTGAAGCTATGGTTGGGGCCGAAGCGTGCACCTCGGATTCCTGTTTGGTGAAAACCTGATATGTACTTAGCCGATTTTGAGGCTTGGTTTTTGTGGGGATTTTATTTCTTGCTCGAGGCCGGCGAGTGCGCGGTCCGTCGGCTTCCCTCTTTTTCTTTTTTTTTTTTTTTTTTTTTTTTTTTTTTTTTGTAGCCGAAGGGTTTGTCCCTGTGCGGTAGTTTGTCCGCTACGCTTTTCGCGTGGATTAGTGCGAGGGAGTAAATACGCCCTCGGCTTGGTGTGTCAGTGGCATCTTTTTTGCCTTTCCACGTCTATCGGCGACGAGGGACCGGACTAGGCATCGTCTTTTGACGGCCGCCCTTTGTGGTCCTGAGCGAAATTTTACTGACGGGTGGAGTTTTTGTAACCTCAGCCTTAATTCGGGCTTGTCGTCCTGCGGTTTCCGCGCGGACGACGCGGTATGCTTCTCCGTTTGAAGACGTCGGACCATGCACACAGGTCCTTCGTCCTGCATATCGCCGGCCGATTTGGGTGTTTCACCGCTTGTGCCGATACGATATTTTAGGTGCGTTGTCTATGCAACGGCTTTGCAGGCGCGTTGTGGATCGCAACGGCCTTAGGTGCGTTGTGTATTGCAACGGCTTTGTGTGCGTTGTTTATTGCAACGGCTTTAGGTGCGTTGTTTATTGCAACGGCTTTGGGTGCGTTGTTTATTGCAACGGCTTTAGGTCGCATCGGACCCGGGTGATTGCACCGCTTAGGCCGATGTGGTCCTTGGGTTTCTTTAGCTCGAATCTTAAAAGATTGGATGAAACATGAATTTTATTCAATAAGTGGCGCTAGGCCGAGGGTGTTTTATTCAACCAATAAGCCGAGGGATGGGGGACGCTGCCCGCTTCACCGCTTCTCGAGTCATTGGTAAAATTTCACCAGGTGGTGTACATTCCACAATCGTGGTACATCTGACCCATTAGGGTTCTTTAGTCTATAAGTGCCGGCTTTGATGACGGCGCTGATTATGTAGGGCCCTTCATATTTGACGGCGAGCTTTCCTCCTTCCGTCGGCTTGCTTGCTTCCCTTCGGCGGAGGACGTAGTCCCCCACCTGGAATTCGCGAGAGCGGACCTTGGCGTCGTAGTAGGATTTGACTTGTCGTCTGTAGTTCTCCGCTCTGAGGTAGGCCATTTCTCGTCTCTCGTCGATGAGGTGTAGGTCCACCTTCATTGTTTCTTCGTTGGCCTCGGGATCGTACTGTGTGACCCGTCGGCTGGGGAGGGTGACTTCAGTGGGAGCCTTGGCTTCGAAGCCGTAGCACAAGGAGAATGGTGTCTCCCCGGTGGCCCTCCTCGGCGTAGTGCGGTAGGACCATAGGACGTTGGGGAGCTCGTCGACCCAACTTCCGCCTTCTTCCTCGAGTTTCTTCTTCAGCCCCTCCAAGATGGTTCTGTTGGCGTTCTCAACCTGCCCGTTGGCCTGAGGGTAGGCAACGGAGGAGAAACGGTGCTTGATACCCCATTCTTGGAGGAGGCTTTGGAACGGTTCGGCCTCAAACTGGGTGCCGTTGTCTGATATGATCTCCTGCGGCACGCCGAAGCGGGTGAGGATGTTCTTGTAGACGAACTTTCGACACCGCGCTCCGGTGATGCTTGCGAGTGGTTCGGCCTCGACCCATTTCGTGAAGTAATCGATGGCGACGATGATGTATCTGTTGTTGCCCGCAGCTCTTGGTAATGGGCCGACGAGGTCGATGCCCCATCTGGAAAATGGGATGGCAGTGCTGACCGGGGCGTAGTTGACGGCCGGCCGACCAGGTGCCCTTTGGTAGTGTTGGCATGCGCTGCATTTGCGGGCGACTTCAGCACAATCGCGTGCCATCGTCGGCCAGAAGTAGCCTTGGACGACGAGGCGGCGTGACATGCTGAAGGGCCCCTGATGTGATGAGCATACGCCGCAGTGGACTTCTTCCATGGCCACCTCGGCCTCATTCTGGTGGAGGCACCGGAGGAGGGTGCCATTGTATGATCTTTTGTAGAGCTTGTCACCCTCAATGACATAGCTTGGCGCCCTAAGTTTGGCGAGTTTGGCCCTCTCCTCGTCTTCAGGTAGTGTCCCGGAGGCGATGTAGGTTGCGATGTCAGTGATCCAGTCCTCCGGCTGGTGTTGTATGGAGAGTATGGGGCTAGCGTGAATGCTTGACATGCTCAACTCCTCCACCTTAGCTATCTTGGAGATGTGCTCAGGGGTGTCGGAGCTGAGTTTGGAGAGGATGTCGGCCTCGGCGTTCTCCGCCCTTGGGATCTGAGTGATCTCGTAGGTATCGAATGCCTTGAGCAATTCCGCAGCGGCCTCCTTGTATTGCTTCATCCTCCCTTCTTTGGCCTCGTAGGAACCCTCCATCTGGCTCACTACGAGTTTGGAGTCGCATTTGATTCTGACGTGGCGTGCTTTAAGGCCAGCGGCTAGTCTGAGTCCGCTAAGGAGCGCTTCATACTCGGCTTCATTGTTGGATACTTTGAAGTTGAAGCGGATGGCGTAGTACGCTCTGAAACCTTCCGGGGAGATGAGGACGACGCCACCTCCACAAGCTTTGGTGGCCGAGGACCCGTCCGTGTAGAGGGTCCAGGCTTCGTCCGGTTCAGCTCCTGTGGTGGTAACGGCCGTCTCCCTTGCCGTGCACTCGGTGACGAAGTCAGCTAAGGCTTGCCCTTTGATGGATGGCCTCGGCTTGATCTCAATCTGGTACTGGCTCAGGAATATCGCCCATTTGATCATCCTTGGAGAGCTGGTTGGGTTCCTCATGAGGGCGCCCAACGGCTGATGCGTGAGGACGTGGACGGGGTGGGCCTGGAAATAGTGCCCCAGTTTTTTCACCGTGTGGACGATGGCCAGCACCGTCTTCTCAATGGGGGAGTACCTGAGCTCGGCCTCCCGCAACGTCTTGCTGACGTAGAATATTGCCTTTTGTACTCCGTCATCCTCCCTGATGAGTACGGAGCTGACGGCCGACGTGCTCACTCCTAAATAGAGGAAGAGAGTCTCGCCGGGTTGGGGCTTGGATAGGACGGGTGGGGAGGCGAGATATTGCTTCAGTTCGTCAAAGGCTTGTTGGCACTCCGTCGTCCATTTGAAGCTAGTGGCCTTTCTCATTATTTGGAAGAAAGGGAGCGACTTCTCCGCGGATTTTGAAAGGAAACGGTTCAGGGCCGCAAGGCGTCCCGTCAGCCGTTGCACTTCTTTGATGTTGCGGGGTGGCTCCATATTGATGATGGCTTGTATTTTCTCTGGGTTCACCTCGATGCCCCTTCGGCTGACTAGGTACCCCAAGAATTTACCTCCTTGGACGCCGAAGGTGCACTTCTTTGGGTTGAGCCGGAGGTTGTACCTCTTCATGATTTCGAAGATGCCCCGGAGGTCGTCGGCATGGGTTGTGGATTGTTTGCTCTTGACGATCATATCGTCGACGT